GGGGGGGAGTCCCAAATCTTTTTTCTTTTTTTAAAAAGTTTTTGTTTAAATTCTAGTTAGTTAACATACAGTATAATATTAGTTACAGGTGTAGAATTTAGTGATTCACCACTTATATACAAAATTCAGTGCTCATCACAAGTGCCCTCCTTAATTCCCACCACCCATTTAATCCTTCCTTCCACCCACCTCCTGTGTGGTAACCATCAGTTTGTTCTCTATGGTTAAGGGTATGTTTCTTGGTTGTCCCGCTCTCTTTTTCTCATCTATGATTGTTTTGTTTCTTAAATTCCACATATGAATGAAATCATATGTTATTTGTCTCTCTCTGACTGACTATTTCACTTAGCATAACACTCTCCAGCTCCATCCAGGTTGCTGCAAATGGCAAGATTTCATTCTTTTTCATGGTTGGGTAATATTCCATTGTGTATATATATACCCCACATCTTCTTTATCTATTCATCAATTGGTGGACATTTGGGCTGTTTTCATATTTTGGCTATTTGTTGATAATGCTGCTCTAAACATCAGGGTGCATGTATCCCTTCGAATTCTTAACCTCTCAAGACATCAGTAAGGACTCCCTAAATGCTCTAATAAATGATAACTTCTCTATTCCCTTAAGTCCTAGAATAATTTTTGTCTATGCTATTTTTATGGCTTTTAGTGTAGGTCCCTTATATTGCATGATAATGTACCACATGTTTACAAACAAGAATTTGAGATGGCTATCTTCTTACTGACTTTTTAAATAGCATTATCTGTTAATCCGGTTAAAATGCAGACATTTTGAGGTTAGTATTTGTATAAGAAATTGTTCTTTTCCTAGTGCCTTACATGTTCTAGGTGCTTAATAAATTTTTACTAGTGAAGATGAAATTATTTTGCAAAGTGTATAATGGCTCTTTTCAGTCCAATTCTATGAAAACACTTATAATAAAATAAATGTAGACCTCCACATACAGAAAACATTCAGAAACAAAAAAGCTTTTATATGTCATAGAAGAAGGGGTAAAAGTCTTTGGCTAAGGATCTCTACCAAATTTAAACTTGAAAAAAGATTAAAACATTTCTGTACCATGCAGAAATAATCCTTGCATAATAATGTAACTTGGTCCAATAATTTCTTTCATTGACATTTCCTTAGTAATTTATTTGTTGATAAAGTAATTTATTTCATTAACCACATACCTTGTTTTTTTTACAGTGATGTTACTGCTGAGTTTTTCTAGTCGACATTCTCCAGTGTCATGGTTAATAATTAAAATGCATTCTTTTAAGTAAGGTTTCTTTGAACCTTTGAAAACAGTTACTGGTGGAGTTGAGCCCTGTTTAAAAAGTTAATTATCATTACTTGAAATTTAGCACAGAAATTCAGTTGGGAGAGGCTTTTAAATCTTCCGTTATTTCTCAATCTATGTTATACCTCAAGTCATCTAACTTTCTAAGTCCATTAGTTGGACAACAAGGATTCATAGTAAAAAAGACAGAGATGAAGCAAAGCTGAGGTCTTAAACCTGCTATCACTGAGGAAAGGGAATAGAGGAAGTACTTGCCCTAAGTCGTTAAAGATTTGTTTCATTGGTCTACAACAGGCAATTGGGATTCAATTTTAATGCAACCAATACTTTTTACAGATAAAGGAACAGAAGCCCTGAATCGTATTTCCTACCCATTCTCTTCTTCCTGTATAAGCTTAGTTTTTCAAATGTGACATTTTCTTAAAATGGCGCTTACCTACGCAGATTACCTGTCAGGCTAAACCTCACTATTAATTTTAGCATCATTAAGACTGGGACAACTGGATACACCTCATGATGCAATATAAAAGTAAACAGTATCACCTATAAAGTATTCTTGCCTAAACACACACACACACACACACACACACACACACACACACACAATCTCTCATTAAACCTTTAGATATAACTATCAGTTTACAGCAAATACAAGGAATAGCGGAAGAAATGAGTAGGATACCCCTAAACAGCAATTCAAGGACTCAAATTATAGTTAATAAGAGATTTGTGCAATGTTCTTCTTTACGATATTTGTATTCCTACTTAGGATAGATCTTAAAATTATAATACATTATTGCATGTTCAGTTCCTGAACATTAAAGGACTGGATTATGATTTCTTTTCTTGCTCCTAGCACCTGAAGTACCAAGCCCTTCACAAATACTAAATGGATATTGAATATGAACAATCTGAACATTTTGATCCTAAGTAACAGGTTAAATAAAGTTTTCATAGTCTCTATACCTGTCTTCCACACTTTGAACAAGTTTTTAAAAAACAAAGCTTTTTTATTAAATTGAGCACCATTCCTATCTTAAACTTTAATTACTGCCTATTCCTTTATTCTATACCCCAAGAAAGGAGTATTAAAGTATTAAATTACCAAGAAACTCCCAAGCATATGAGCTATCTTTGCCTCTAAATTAACTATTGTCAGCAAATGAAATTGAAATCAGAGGCAGCGTGAAAGATAAGGACTCAGCCACCACAGAACTGGGGGTAGGGGGCTTCAGGAAAAGGAAACAGCAAGTGTAAAAGATCTGAGGCCAGAAAGATGAAGGGAGAGCAAAGGGCTGTGGGAAAGGGAGATGAGCTTGGGAAGATGGATGAGTGTTAGATCCTGCAAGATCTTGCTGGCTGTGGGGAGGGTTTGAGATTTTTTTTTTTTTCTGTAAGTCATAAGAAGCATTTGCAGAAGAATGACCATTCATTCATTCATTCATTTATAGCATGCAAGAGCACACATAAGCAGGGGGAGGGGCAAAGGGAGAAGAAGAAAGAGAATCCTAAGCAGGCTTCATGTCCAGCATGGAGCCCAGCGTGGGACTGGATCTCAGGACCCTGAGATCATGACCTAAGCCAAAATCAAAAGTCTGATGCTCAACCAAATGAACCACCCAGGTGTCCTCAGAATTAACCTTTTAAAAAGACTGCCTTGTATAAATATATGTGAACATCTACAGAGTACTAGACACTGTTCCAAGTGTTCTATATGTACAACATTAAACTCATTCACTCCTCAAAAATGAACCAACCAACAAACAAAAAAATTACTGAATACATCCAATCATCTCCATATTTACTACTATTACCCAACTTCATAATGCAATCATCATCTCACCTCGGTTCCTATTCTCCTCCCTACTGTCCTTTCAGTTTTGTCCCCCATCTGCTGACAGGGAAATCCGATCATGCCTATGAATACCAGGAAAGGAAATTAATCAGTAATGGAAGGGAAAAGTACAATTGTACTCCCAAATAGGAGGAGGGAAAAAGAAAGAAGAGATGCTTAATGAAACTAATTTTAAAAATGAGGGAAAAACTAAAATAACTAATAAACATACCAAAGATGATAGATGTAAAAATCAGGCACATCAGCTTTGAACTAAATGAGGATAGAATTCTTTTAATAAAAACAGGAAGTGTCGAACTTGGTTTAAAAATGAAACAGAATAGGACACCTTGGTGGCTCAGTCTGTTGAGCACCTGACTCTTGGTTTTGGCTAAAGTCATGACCTCAGGTCATGATCTCAGGATTGTGAGATTGAACCCCACTTCATGCTCCATGCTTACTGTGGAGTCTCCTTGGGATTCTCTCTCTCCTTCCCCTTCTACCCCTACCCCTACTCACGAGCTCTTTCTCTCTTTCTCAAAAATAAATTCATAGATCGGGAGGAGTCAAGAAGGCAGAGAAGTAGCAGGCTGAGACTACTTCAGGTAGCAGGAGATCAGCTAGATAGCTTATCTAAAGATTGCAAATACCTACAAATCAAACGGGAGATCGAAGAGAAGAAGAACAGCAATTCTAGAAACAGAAATCTACCACTTTCTGAAAGGTAGGACTGGCGGAGAAGTGAATCCAAGGCCATGGGAAGATAGACCGCGGGGGGAGGGGCCGGCTCCCAGCAAGCGGCGGAGCAACGGAGCACAAAATCAGGACTTTTAAAAGTCTGTTACTCTGAGGGACATCACTCCAGAGGCTTAACCAGGGTGAAGCCCATGCGGGGTCAACGTGGCCTCAGGTCCCGCAGGGTCACAGAAGGATCAGAGGTGTCTGAGTGTCGCAGAGCTTACAGGTATTAGAACAGGGAAGTCGGCTACAGAGAGCCGAGGAGTAAGCTCTCAGCTCGGGGTTACCTTGAACCGGTCACAGGCTCGGTCAGCTCGGAGCGCGGCCAGAGGCCAGGGTGACGGGAGCAATTGGGCGCTGTTCTCTGAGGGCGCACTGAGGAGTGGGGCCCCGGGCTCTCGGCTCCTCCGGGCCGGAGACTAGGAGGCTGCCATCTTCATTCCCGTCCTCCGGAACTCTACGGAAAGCGCTCAGGGAACAAAAGCTCCCGAAAGCAAACCCGAGCGGATTACTCAGCCCGGCCCCTGGTGAGGGCGGTGCAATTCCGCCTGGGACAAAGACACTTGAGAATCACTACAACAGGCCCCTCGACCAGAAGATTAACAAGAAATCCAGCCAGGACCAAGTTCACCTACCAAGGAGTGCAGTTTCAATACCAAGGAGAGCAACGGAATTCCAGAGGAGGAGAAAGCAAAGCACAGAACTCATGGCTTTCTCCCCATGATTCTTTAGCCTTGCAGTTAATTTAATTTTTTTTCTTTTTCAATTTTTTTTCTCTTCTTCTGCCAAATTTTTTTTTAACTTTTGCCCTTTTCTTTTTTAACATTTTTTAACTAGCTTACCTAATATATATATATTTTTTTCTCTTTTTTTGTATTTTTTCTTTTTTCTTTTTTTTTTTTTGTTTCTTTCTTTCTTTTTTTTTTTTCTTTCTGAACCTCTTTTTATCCCCTTTCTCCCGCCTCACGATTAGGGATCTCTTCTGATTTGGTTAAAGCATATTTTCCTGGGGTTGTTGCCACCCTTTTAGTATTTTACTTGCTCCTTCATATACTCTTATCTGGACAAAATGACAAGGCAGAAAAATTCACCACAAGAAAAAGAACAAGAGCCAGTTCCAAAGGCTAGGGACCTAATCAATACAGACATTGGTAATATGTCAGATCTAGAGTTCAGAATGACGATTCTCAAGGTTCTAGCTGGGCTCGAAAAAGGCATGGAAGGTATTAAAGAAACCCTCTCGGGAGATATAAAAGCCCTTTCTGGAGAAATAAAAGAACTAAAATCTAACCAAGTTGAAATCAAAAAAGCTATTAATGAGGTACAATCAAAAAAGGAGGCTCTCACTGCTAGGATAAATGAGGCAGAAGAAAGAATTAGCGATATAGAAGACCAAATGACAGAGAATAAAGAAGCTGAGCAAAAGAGGGACAAACAGCTACTGGACCACGAGGGGAGAATTCGAGAGATAAGTGGCACCATAAGATGAAACAACATTAGAATAATTGGGATTCCAGAAGAAGAAGAAAGAGAGAGGGGAGCAGAAGGTATATTGGAGAGAATTATTGGAGAGAATTTCCCCAATATGGCAAAGGGAACAAGCATCAAAATCCAGGAGGTTCAGAGAACCCCCCTCAAAATCAATAAGAATAGGTCCATACCCCGTCACCTAATAGTAAAATTTACAAGTCTTAGTGACAAAGAGAAAATCCTGAAAGCAGCCCGGGAGAAGAAGTCTGTAACATACAATGGTAAAAATATTAGATTGGCCGCAGACTTATCCACAGAGACCGGGCAGGCCAGAAAGACCTGGCAGGATATATTCAGAGCACTAAACGAGAATAACATGCAGCCAAGAATACTATATCCAGCTAGGCTATCATTGAAAATAGAAGGAGAGATTAAAAGCTTCCAGGACAAACAAAAACTGAAAGAATTTGCAAACACCAAACCAGCTCTACAGGAAATATTGAAAGGGGTCCTCTAAGCAAAGAGAGAGTCGAAAAGTAGTAGACCAGAAAGGAACAGAGACAATATACAGTAACAGTCACCTTACAGGCAGTACAACGGCACTAAATTCATATCTCTCAATAGTTACCCTGAATGTTAATGGGCTAATGCCCCAATCAAAAGACACACGGTATCAGAATGGATAAAAAAACAAAACCCATCTATATGTTACCTACAAGAAACTCATTTTAAACCCGAAGACACCTCCAGATATAGGTGAGGGGGTGGAAAAGAATTTACCATGCTAATGGACATCAGAAGAAAGCAGGAGTGGCAATCCTTATATCAGATCAATTAGATTTTAAGCCAAAGACTATAACAAGAGACGAGGAAGGACACTATATCATACTCAAAGGATCTCTCCAACAAGAAGATCTAACAATTTTAAATATCTAAGCCCCTAATGTGGGAGCAGCCAACTATATAAACCAATTAATAACAAAAT